CCCCCCCCTCCCCTGTTCGACAGAGGATGCATGGAGGGATGAGGAAGAGGAGGAGGAGGAGGAGGACGCAGGAGGACAAGGTTCAGTTGAAGAGGATGGAGTCCGGGTCTCTGTTGGCGATCTGTGCCATGTGTTTCAGTATGTCCTTCTTGGTGATGATTCCCAGCAGCCTCCTTTGCAGAACACAGAGAGACAGAGACACAGAGACGTTAGGCAGAAGCACATTACTTCACATCATGGCTGGTTCGCTGCGTCACTGAAAGTCAGAAGAAGAGACAGAAAGCAGAATCGCACACATCAAGGCCGAGGTCTGCTCGGAGTCGGAGGAGGAGGAGGAGGAGGGGGAACTGGCTCTCAGCGGGAGATCAGGGTAACAGGAAAACATGGGGGAGAGTGACACGCGCAGGCCGAGATCACACGAGAGACGATTACAGCTGACACTTCGACGCTAACAACGCTAAACTTCACCGTCGGCGCGGTCTGGAGCGAGAGCGGGAAAAGTATGTGAATTAGCATTAATTCCAGTCTGGTTCCAAGGGAGACAAGGGTGCGAACCGGTTTCGAGACGTGGCGGCAGATCGAGTTGACATTAGCACGTCCTGTCGTCATCACCTGGTCGATCGGTTTTTTAAAATATGAAAGTACAAGGACAGACAACGCCATCGCTGTCCTTTCATGAGACTCGTCGTGTATCACCAGCCTTGTCGTGAAAGATAATAATCATTTCAGCAACTTTTCAGGTCGGACATCGTCTTTAGAAAGAGACAACGTCCTGGAAACAGTTTGGACAAAAACAGAGGGTCCAAGAGGACGGACACTAAGTTAATGTGAGTGTGACTTGGATCCTACAAGTGAGGGAATATTAAATAAAAGCAAAACAAGGAGGTTTTTATGATCTCTCATTGTTTTCTGACCAAGCGTCTTTCAACAGCGCTGCAAAATGAATTGTGACTCATGTAACTGCAGATATAAAACTGGATGATGAGGCTTCAGGTTTCAACAAGTTCAACACAAGAGTTTTTAAGATCATCGCGAGTGAAAGATGTGAAGGATTATCGGAGGGAACTACTTACAGGCCTCGGACACTGAATATGGATCCTAAACTAAAGTGAAATAAACCGTGACACGATTATTCTCTCTGACGCCTCTTGATTTCCACAGATAATAACGTGTCGGCGAGCAGAGCTTTAACTCGAGATGAGATTCTTTCTGGGAAAATACCTTTTTCCTCCCAGTGCGTGTTGGAATGAACAGTATCCATCTTACATGTCGGCCGCAGAGATCACAAGCTGCGCTTCACGTAGCCTAAAGGTCTTTTTATTTTTTACCGCGTGTGTCAAACTGTCTCGGGCGCTGAGTGATTCACCGCCCCTGAAGCTTCACGTGAAAAACACAGTCTCCCATTCAGACATATTCTCTCTCACTAATCCCGTCTCTATTTCCGTTCACTCCCTGTCCCATAAAAAAAATGATGCGATTCTTTTTCTCCCCATTTCAATGTCACACATGGATCCACTCGGGCGAAATTGCAGCCTCTCTGTTGTTGGCCCACGAGCAGCGCATCTGAAGCAAATATGTGCGAGTCGTGCAGAAGTCATTGTGCCTGTCAACAGCCTCTCAGCAGCCATGTGCGCCGTCAGAGGGGCCCATGGGCAAGGCAGCGAGTGACCCTTAAATAGTGTATTCATAATAATATGTTCTGGTGGAGCGCAGCCACCAAACGCCCCGAAAAAAATAAACATGAACTGACGAGAAGCTGCCTCGACTCGTTCCCCGCCAGTTTCCAAGATTTGGTTTTAAATGAAGTGCCGCGACGGAGACCACTTGTTCCAAAACTTGAGGCAAAACCAAGTTCAAAACCCCCGAAACTCAACCTGACGGGCTGCCAACGTTCCTGCAGAGAAATCAATACAGTTTATTTATACGAGGGAGAGAAAGTGATTGATAGAAACCACAAGTTGTATCGTGTGTGAGCGGCTTAAAGCCAACGAGGGCAAATTACACAGTTTCTGTACAGTCGTAAAAATATACTTCTCGAATCCCTGAAAGCTGTTTGTTTGAAAATGTCAAACCTCCATCTATACAACTGGAGTGTGTGTGTATGTGTGTGTGTGTGTAAAAGAGAAATGTAACACAACACTGATTAAGTTTATTCTCACTGGGTTTTATCTTTTCTTCTACTTTGTCTGAATTTGATTCACTGGATTAACATTGTTCTCTTTGTCATTCAAGTCACGTCAGAGAGACACATATGGAGTGTGTGTGTGTGTGTGTGTGTGTGTGTGTGTGTGTGTGTGTGTGTGTGTGTGTGTGTGTGTGTGTGAGATATGTTGGTCTGGAAGCTGGCAGAGGTTTTTAAAGATAATGACAAGTTCAAGAAAAGAGAGAAAAAGATAGTTCTGGTAAATATCGTAGAGAGGTTTACGCCCTGTTTTCATCAAAAACAGCAGTTTTGCTGTCGGCAGCTCTGAATCCTGACTCTCTATGTCTTCCCCTGTTATCTCTCAACGTTTCAACGTCGTCTCAACAAAATGGAATTCATCAGCAGGCGGCGATGAGGGGTCCTCGCAACTTAGTTCCCGTCGGGAGCTGGTGCAGAGGGTGTTCCGTTAGTGTGGAGCAACACAAGTCAGAACATTTTTTAATCGTGTCGCCAAACACGCCCCAAAATTTTGAACAATAAATTCAAACTGTGGGATTACCGCTTGGCTTTTTTTTTTAAAATAAAGGCGTCTCCCAGATTTCATTTATCTGAGGCCAAGCTAAAGCAGGGGGCTTTGATTTTTTGATTTTTTTTTTTTAACTGAGCCAAGGAGCTTATGTTTTCATCAGCGTCAGCAACATTTCTGAAAAAATACGGAACCGATTTCCATGTAATTTTTTTTGGAAGAAGTCAAAGAAGAAGATCCGGATAAACCGGTGGATTCAGGATCTTTTTTTTTTTTCTCCACTCTATTTTTGCTTGGCAAGGGAGGGTGTCCTTCTAGTTCCTATTGCAGGGGGCGTAACTGAGCCATCTTGTCACTTCCATGTGCATAACACTTTACATTTCTGTTAGAGTGGAACGTTTGTGCAACGTACTGTGAGATCTCAACGAGAAAAACAACAGAACCCTTTCTCTTCTATTTAAATACAAAATTCTGAAAAGTAAGCAGCAGCAGAATCTACAGAGCTGTCTGTGTCCATGAGCCACTAAACCCTTCTGTCCATTTCTCTGACGTCCTCTGTCTTTAAATAAAGGCTCTCAGGGACGGCAGAGCTGAGCAGAGAGGACGTCAGGACACGCTCTCGTCCTCTGCTAAGTTTCCCAAGCAGTCACTCAATCAGGCTCCGAGGGGTTCACTTTGAAGCGAATGTTTACTCCAGAGAACAGCAGGAGAATGTTCCGACACCGAAACGAACGAGGTGATTTTCAATCTCGTGTTTCTTTGTGTCGTAGAAAAACAGCTGCCAAAAAAAGCCACGAGAGCCGAGCTGCTGTGTCTGCAACATCTGCATCGGGTCAACGTGGATCTCTGTTCCACTGCAGAGACAGAACCCTGAGCGCCATGACGTCAGCAGACGGATGAGCCCCGGGCCACGTGACAGATCTCAGCACGGTTCATATTAATGGGTTCAGTGGCAGCGCGGAGAGTTTTCTGTACCCTCCCTCCATTAACCGTCCGTGTCCTCCTCCCTAACTCTCCTCCCTCCTCGCTTTTATCCCTTTAATGCATGAGCTGACAGCGGAATGACCCGAGTGTCTCCTCCGCGTCCATCCATCACTCCCTCCGTCCTTTCTCAAGCCTCGTTTCCTGACGGTATCTCCCGTTAATCTACAGGAGTGGGAGTGTGGGTAGTTTACACGTCCGCCCATCTTTCCTCACATCTATTCATCTTGTCTGTCTCTTCATTATTTGTCCTTAATGATGTGTGAAAGCAAATATTTAACATGTTTTCACGTGTCACGTCGTGCAGATCGTCAAAAATGACGCGATCTATAAATGTGAATTTCCTTTTCTCACCCGTTATGTGTGACTAGACATTGGCGTAGCCCCAACTTCCTGAAAATATCCACGGTGATATCCATGGGAGTGTGGTCGGTAACCGTGAAGGGGCTCAGGTCCATGATTCCTCTGAGGCGGAGTGGAGGCGGGGCATCGTCAGCCTGGGAAGGAGCGTGCTCGGTGAAAACCACCTGGGAGGCGCTGACGATACCTTCCTGCCGCTTCCGGGCGTTGTCTGAAAGGAGAGCATGTTGATGTTTGTAATTCGAAGTTAGAGACGTGGGAAAAAAACAATTCACACTATTTTACAATACTGCAGTTTTGGTTTTCAGGTTTTCAGGTTAAGATGTAAAGTTCTGACCTATTGATATGAGCAGGTCTCTTCTCAGCACGAACCCCACGAGCCTCTGGGACTCCTGAGAGACGACCACGGGGAACCCGCTGTAGTGCGTGCTCTCCACCAGCGTCTGCGGACACAGGAAAACACGTGTTACACGCGGTACGGACGAACGCAAACAAATCCGCACGACCTCCGCAGCAGAAGCTGTGATAAATAATGACCACAATCTGTATAAACTACAATTTGTGTCAAACGTGGCCTCAGAGCTCGTAAAGTTAAAGTGAATAAAGCTGAAGCGGAGCTCTGTGGATGCATTAAACAACCGTAATTGCAGCTTTCACTTTGTACGTTTATGTAAGAGCAGTTAGTTTATAACACGGTCTGTGGCCCCATCATTTCTTACGGAAACAATTTATATCTATGCGTTCATGCTTTGCTTTATTATAACCACATGTACTTCACTGAACGGCCGTGGATTTTTATGCTCTACATTCCATTGGGATCGACAGCGTGTCACTGCGTGACCATACCTCCACCTCCCCTACAGTCATGCCCTCCTGCGTGAGCATGGCCAGCGCAGGGTCCGACCTCCTGGGCCTCATCACGTCCACAGCGAGGCTGCTGTGCTCAAACTCCTCTTTGGCCTCCAGGAACGGGTAACCGTTCAGCCGGATGTGAGCCTGCGGAGCAAAAAACAAAAATCTAACTTTAGTCCTTCAGACCGGCTGCCACTTGTTGGCGAGAACTTAAAAGCTGCCTCATTGCCGACCGGGTTAATAATGTGGAGGGAACCTCTGAAGGGGGAGCCCACGTGTACCCCGGAGCACTTCTTGCATTGTGTTGCTTTAAATCTAACGCACACTGTTTTCACATGAGCACATGTTGTTTTAGCTGCAGAGGAACCAGTGGGAACGGTATGTAATGTATGCTCACCAGTGGCAGTTTGCCAAAAACACATCAAATCAAACAGAATTTACACAAACAAAAAAAAAAAGAGGAGGAATTTACGTTGCTTCACTTTTTTTTATCCCTCGGCGTATATATACGTAACATGATTTATCTTAAACGACCGCCTCACCTCGTAGATTCCCTCTCTTCCGAAAGCATCTGCCACCCATTTGCTGGTCATGGTTGCGGCCATGAGGGGAACGATGTACTCCAGCCCGCCTGTCAGCTCGAACATGATGACTACCAGCGACACCGTCATACGAGTCACGCCACCTGGAGGGGAGACAGGCGAGAGGCGACTCAGAAACATGACATCAGCTCAAACAGAAGTGCGATTCATCCGAAGTGAGTCAAAAAGAGGAAATATGAGTGAAACACGTGAGTCAGGATGAATATTTACAGCACAGCTATGATAGGCTCCGTATGGCTGCAGGGGCAGAGGACGGACACTACGGAGCCGACGATGTAAAAAATGTGCTGGAGCATCTTTTATATTTCTTAATGTGAAAGTTTGAGCTCTGTAATTCAGTTTTAGTAGTTTCACTCTGAATCCACTTATAATAATCTCGCATGTTTGTGGGCAGAAACCAAAGCTCCACTTTTAACTCGATGCTCTTGATGTTCTCTTCGGTGACCTCCTCCCCCTCCTCCTCCTCCTCCTGCTGCTCCTCCTTCTAAACAGCCGGCGTTAAGACAACTGGGGGCAAAAGTTTCATTGTAAGTGAAAGACATCAATTTCGGAGGCGATGAAAACAAAGTCCCTTTTGTTCAGAGCTCCGTATTTGAGAAGCCTAAATTTAGGTGGTTATGTTCTGTCACAATTGTTCCCTGATGTTAGCTGAAATAAAAACACACATGACATTCACACGTCTTTAAACAACATTATTAAGATTAATACCTCTGCCGGGGAACTTCTTTGTCTGTTTTTCTGCAGGATTACGCAAAAACTACAGAATGGATGCGCATGAATGTTGGTGGAGGGATGGGACATTAAATTGTGGAGGGGATCCAGGATTCATCTTTAACATAGTGAGGAAGGGTGAGGGTGATTACCAGTTTTAAAAATAAATCATTTATGGATCTTGATGAAAACAATTAAGGGAGTTATATCTATTTGGTGCAGCTTAAATTAATTTAAGGGAACTGCATGCGCTCTACTGAGAATAATTCTAGTTTAGTAGAAATCCTGTAGATGTTGTCGATCTCTGCATCAAACAGATCTTATCTCTTACTTTAGAAGAAAACAAAAGAAGCCAATCAAAACGTTTCATTTACTTTCTGTCCCGTCTATAATGCAGATTCCTCAGAGGAACAAGTTGCACCAAGTTCTGACTTCCTGAAGATTTACACTGTCTCTCTATTATTTGAGGAGATATCTTGGAAAAAAACAATTTTTCTGCCCATATTTTTTGTTGATCTTGATGTTGACCTCTGATAGATCGGCTCCAAACGTTAATCACCTTGAGATAAACTCCAGAGTAATATTCCGACCATGTTTGGTGAAAATCCGCCCGTGTGTTGTTGAGTTATTTTGTACAAACACTCACACACACACACACACACACACACACACACACACACACACACACAC